GATTGACTTGAAAACTTTTTTCTTAAGGTGTTTCATTCGTTGTTCATTGAATTTTGTAAATCGAGACATTATCTTATAAAGATATTCCGCTTCTTAGACGACAATTAGCGTCATCTGTCTTAGAACATCGTTGTCTTTGATGGATTTGATTGCCTTGGAAACTCTTTTCTTAAGGCGTTCTATTCGTTGTTCATTGAATTTTGTAAATCGAGACATTATTCAATTGTCCTTCTACCAAAGACATTGCTTTCTTTTGTCTTTCCGAGTTTGGGTTGTCTACGGCAAGCTCATTGTATGTCCTGCGTCATGTATGGGCTTTGTGATCTCTGTCACGTCCCAGTCGTTTCTCATGCAGCGGAACATGTCATACGTTATGTTCCATGTTTCGAATTTTGTTCCACTACAAGTATTTTGTTCCATGTTTCACATTCTGTCCAACTGGAAGTGTAAACATGATTGTGAAACTGATTGGTGGATGCATGAGAATTGTCATGTTATGTGAAATTGGTCAATGGATGCCCAAACTTTCTTTGCATTACCATTTAAAGTGCGGATATTCATCGTGAATGAGCACCATTTTAAGTTCTACACTTGTGCATAGAATGTCGAAATAAAGTGGTTATTGAAATACACCTTGCCCATCATAAATGTAACTAATTATGTTCCTCAGTGCCCTCATGTCGGGCGAGATGATGATCGTGCCTTTATGCGGAAGTCAGAATCTCTTCAACATCCAAACAATGAGACGATGGGTGTGCTTGCACAACTTAGGGATAACCTAGTAAAAGAAAATTTGATGTGTTCACCAACAACGGTTCGATCATGACACCTTGCTCATGACATACGTAAGCTTTAAGTTTAACAAGTATGGATCTCAACACACTCCCGCCGATTGTCAGGGTCACAAGTCATCTAAACAAGTCTGGATCTCATCATACATCTAAACAACCGTCTTCAGCAAGACGATGAACCTGCATGTGTAACTTTGGGATAACCGAAAGAATTATATTGAGTATTTCCAATTCAATCTGATTACATTGCTAATTTTGCTTACAAAGTTCAACAACTATGGATGTCAACAAACTTTCGCATTTGGGCCGAGTGGATGGGCACGCCTATGTGAAAACACTGCAGTACAAAACGAATTCGTAAGAAAGAGGATAGTGTCACAATATAATATACTTCATCACATTTATGAAATTGAAGTTTGACAAGTAAGGATCCCGGCACACTTCCGCACAGGGTTCCCTGTGTGGCGTGCCAATCGTTATTCGTTTATGAAGTTTGAGTAGTATGGATCCCAACACACTTCCTCGCAGGATCATCAGCATGTTTTTGAAGTTCAACAAGTGAGGATCCCAACACACTTCTGCACAGGATGGGCATGCCTACGTTGCTTAGGCTGCAGCCACAAATGAATTTGTTGAAAAGAGGACACAGTATAATGTCCTATTTTAACGAATAACATGTTATACTCACACTGTGCCCTCAAACTTGCAAAACCACAAAATGAGCGGCCAGATCGAGTCCTTCTAAGGGAAGGACTAGATCTGGCCACTGATTTTGGGATTTTGTGATTTTGAGGGCCTAGTGTGAGTGTGCCCTTATACCCAGTATGTATATATATAATGTTTTTGGACATTTAATTTTGTATCTATTTAAATGGTCACTACCTTCTCTGAGTCGTATGTCGCCTGCAAGGTGGGTCCAAGTCGTTTCAGAGGCCGGTCCCTTCAGATGAGAAATATCAGCAGCCTCCCCCTGACCATTGTTTTGGATGAGGTTATTTTCCCAAATGGGACTAAGCTTGGATTGTTCCTAAGCTTGCGAAAGGTGGTGGTTGTTTAGCCTTTCTCCCTAAGCTTGTAAAAGTTTTCTTCAAGTATTTGTTGTATTACTTTTTTTTCCGGAAACTTTTGGATTGTTCTCTATGTCTTCTATGCCTTAAATGGGGTGCTGAGGATAGACTTCTACCGAGTTTAACGGTGAACACAACATTGTCAAGTATTTTGTGTGTACAAGGATTTGAACAGCCAGTACCTTTGTCAGCTATGGCTGCCAACCCTAAAATGGACCTGTGCAGCAAAAAAAAACGAATCGGCGTGGGCCTCTTTTTGGCTTGCGCCGCCAGCGGTTTCCGGCCAGTAGTGTCGGAACCCCCCTGGCTCCGGTGTTAACTGCCGGGCATCTATTTTTCAAGCTGGGAAAGATACTGGTAGTTCTAAAACTTGCCTGCGCACAAGACGTACGTTAGATGATTAGAGAGAAGGGTGGGACTTCTAGGGTTATGAAGGGCCCAGAGTGGCGACACAGATTCAATACCAGAACAGAGTTAGGGCTAATGTGAACCGATTTTCGGCTGGGTTGGCCTGTGTCGTGCCAATAAAGTCATGATTCCTTAGAATAGGTGATAAAAATGGTAGGTTGAACTATGTTTCTGAGTTAAACGATTCGGTCATGTGCTACCTTATAAGAGTAACTACAGAAATATATATATAACTTGACCGATTTAAACAGTTCAGGCCGACCAGGCATTTGACTTAGTTGGACGACCTAGTTACATGCCTAAAGAAGAAAAAAGTTATGGTGTCATGTGTTTTGTGTATATTCAATGGTTGAGCTAGACAATTGTTCCTAAGTTAGATGGTCTAGCTTTACGCCTTATGTCAGTTGGGTATAAGGGATAAATCATTGAAAGACTATGAACTATTGTTGACAAGGTTCGACTTTGGGACTGGGTCAGAGTATTTATCATTGTGGTTTGGACTTGCATGTGGCTGAGTGAAATCTTAACTTAGTAGGAGTTTCAGTTTGATAGGTCGTTACTTTAGTTTCTCGTCACATGCTAGAGTTATAGGAGTAAGTTCAATTTATACATTTTCATAGTTAATCTTTTTTTAACTTAGGTCAATTCTTGCATTTTCGAGGATCATTTGTTATACTTGCTTTTGTATAAATCTTGAAAAAATATTTTTCCTACGAGAAGCGCTGCCAAATTTCTACAAAACAAAGGAGTTAGTCAAATTTTACTTTTCAAAGTTCAACTTTAACAGGGGATTTGTGAAAACCTCACAATCGGAAAAAACCTAACATTTCTTATAGAATGAAAAAGTAAAAGTTAAATTGTTATTTTTTACATAAAAAGAAAGCGTTTTTAATCGTTTTGCGATAAAGGAGGCAAGAAATCAGGTGAAAAGTCTAGTGTTCCT